TGCTACTGCTACTGCTACTACTACTACTACTACTACGATTACTACTACTACTACTACTACTACTACTACTACTACTACTACTACTACTACTACTACTACTACTACTACTACGACTACTTACTACTACTACTACTACTACTACTTTTACCACTACTACCACCACTACTACTACCACTACTACTACTTCTACTACTACTACTACTACTACTACTACTACCACTACGACTACGACAAGTACTACTATCACTACCAATTGTCCGCCTCCTTCCCTCCTCTTTCGCCCCTCCTCTCCCATGAGAAGAGTCCACGGCAAGCAGACCTTCTGCCGTGGACTCTTCTCACGAAGTCGGGAGGCTTGTGCCCAGGTGGCCAAACGTCTACCCCCGAACCTTCTCCTGGCGTGCGGTCCGGCCAGACTCGAGGCGACTCCAGCCGTGGCCACGAGAATGCCCCGAGAAGCGATCCACGCCGAGAGCTGACGTCGCGAACAAGATCCGCATCCAGAGCCCTGGACCTCATTTCCCTGCGGCTCTTGGCATCGCTCGGACGTGTGCATTTTTTCTTCGGCAGGGCCATCGAGGAGCATCCTTGATCATTTGGCGCAAGAACCAAGGACGAAACAAAAAAAAACACAGGGAATGGACGTCCGAGCGATGGCCAGGCCGATTCCTGAGGGCCCGGGGGCCTGAGACAGCGCGAAATCGCCCGGTGTTGAGCAATCGCGACGCCAGGATCGCAGGGTTCCTGATGCCAGCGTCGACCCCACACATGACAGCACCACATCAGCAGAGCCGGCAGAGGTCCCAGAACAAAAACTAATGATCGCGCCCATTCTAGAGCCCCCTTAGGCCCTATGCGAACGGACTGAACATAAGGGTCTCTTGCCTGGTATATGTTACAGCCTAATGCAAGGTTCGGGGAACGTATTCTCGGGGGATAAGTCTTTGCGCAGTAGGTCCGTACGGAGTGCTCGGTCTGCATCTTGGCTGACTTCGTCTGGACTTCGCCTGTTCTGATAGGATGCCAAGTCCCTGCGGGGTAAGTCCGCACGGAGTGTTCGGTTTCCCGCCTGGCTTACTCCGTTTACATTGCGCCTCTCTTGGAGTGAGTAAAACAATTCGAACCTCTGTCCGTGAACTAAGTCGGGCCTGTCCCTCTACAGGAGGAATATTCAAAAATAGTAAAACAATAGTCTGGGGACGATGTTTTCGATTTTTGTTGATCGCATGTTTTGTAGCTATTTTGCATTATTCGCCCAAGACCCACCTGTAGGAGGACATGCCCAACCTAATCCTGGAACTCCGAACCTTGTTCCCCTCCTCCTCCTCCTCCTGCTGAGCCTCCTCCGCATCCTTCTCCTCCTCCTCAGACCCTGCGGCCGCACCGAGGCCCTCGGTCCTGAAACTCAGAGCGTCCTCCCTGCCCCACCCCCGGAGGCGTCCAGGTCCTCATCACGGGGGCCTCGTCCGGCATCGGCGCGGCCACGGCGTGGCGGTACGCCGAGCTCGGGTGCCGGCTCGCACTCGCGGGGCGCAGGACGGAGCGGCTTGAGGCGCCTCCTCCTCCGCAGGGGGGGGAAATTTTTGGTGTGTGGGGTGTTCCTCTCCTCCTCCTCCTCTCCTTGCTCCACCCTTCCTCCTCCTCCTCCTCCTCCTCCTCCTCCTCATCCCATACTTTGTACGTTTCAGGTAATCCTTCCAGGTGGTCCGCTTTCTCCTCCTCCTCCTCCTCCTCCTCCTCCTCCTCCTCCTCCTCTTGCCTCCATCCCCCCTCTTCGGAGGGGTGTGCCGCAATCGTTTCCTGTCCCAGTCCGGCCTCTGCCCGAGCCTCTGCCGCTGCCCGAGCGAGTAGTAATGAATTGAGCAGATCTGTGTTGTGAGCTCACGCACCTTGGCAGCCTTGAGTCGCGAACAGAAGCGACAGAATGGCCATGTCTGGACGCGGGGCCGCCGGGCAACTACTCGGGATGAGGCGCAGGTCCCCAGGAAGCGGCCCAGGCCTTTGGGGAGCCACGCTGTGAAAGAATCCCGACGTCGGATGTCTGGGGGGTCACATTGGAGCGACGCAGAAGAAAAAACGGGAGCGTCTGCGCCGACGATGGCGCGTAAGCTCCCCGCGTACGGTTGCGCGTAAGCGCCTTCGTCTCTAATGTAGCGTGCCGCGCTGGCGGCCCGCGTAAGCCGCCGCGTCAGGTCGCTATCTCGTCTCGCGTAAGACCCGTTCTTGATCGTTGCTCATTTGCACTTGGCGCGCGATGAGACGGGGCCGACAACCCCGCTTCCCTGCATTGTTCCCAGCGGATCCGAAGGCTCGGTCGGATCCGGCGCCGGCGGTCCCTCTCGGGGCGTCCTCATAGCATCGTCCCCGGGGCACTGCGCCTCTTCTGGTGCACGCGGCTCCGAGTCCCAAACGTGCCGCTCGGACGGGCCATCCTCACAAAATTGTTTGCGAACGCCCCCCAAGAAGGGATAGACAACGTTTCCAGGTTTCTACGTGCTCTTGTTGTCCCGCGCGGCCAGAAGCGAATGTCGGGAGGAAAAGAACCACAGCGACACAGGTGAACATCGATCCCCAGGAACAGATGGAACATGGGGCGTGGAGGGGAAGACGAAACTCCAGAACAAAATGTTGAACACATGGGGAATCCAAGGCGACTTCAGAATTGTCGAGTTCGAGGGCCCGAAGGCCGACAGAGGCTGTGGAAATCTCAGAACGCATCCTGGGCGAATCGCGCTATCCTCCCAGAGCGCATCCTGAGCCTCATCGCAGATGAAGAACAGGTACCGATACCGCTGACATGTTCTCCATTTCCCCTTTTTGGGCCTTCTTGCAGGCCCTCGTCGCCACCGTTGGATTCACCTCGAGATTCTGGTCAGCACGCATCCTGGGAGAGGTCTGGGGAGTAGCAGTATCGTACCTTTCGGATTCCCCCGTTTTCTGAGTCAGAATTCCCGTGACATGTCTCTCGTCTTATTGTGGGGCCCATGCCAAGAAACACCTTGCTTACCTCCAGGGTGCCCTGTTTTTTTTTGGTTTCGATGGTCCTGCTGGGGAAAGCGCGACGCTCCCCCACCAGAAGTCGATGATCGGTCCTGGGGTCTCAGGTTTGGGTTTCTTGTGGAAGGCTTCCTGTGGTCGGGCCCCAGAAGAAAAGCACACACACACACATAAACACCCCTGCCCCTCCTCCTCCTCCTCCTCCAAAACAAAACAAAAAAACATAACAACAACAACAACACCAACAACAACAACAACAACAACAGCAACGACGACAACAACGACAACATCGACGACAACAATAACACCAACAACAACGACAACAACAGCGACAACAACAACAGGAAACATCAAGAACAACAACACGAACATTATACAATACGAACAGGATAAACAGGGTGTTTTCTGTCGCCGGCTTGTCCTGGCCACTGTGCCGAGTCGGAGTGCCCGTGGCGTGTCTCCATCGTCCTGCCTCTGTTGGGGCATGGCCGCCCAGGAGGCGCGGAGACCGCTCGGCGCCGGCTCCTCCTGCGCCGAGCGCGGAGGAGCGGCAGGAGCGCACGTCTTCGAGGGCCCGTGCGGCTTCGGATCTGCGCCCGAGCCCTCCCCTCGGGCGAGGAGGAGGAGGAGGAGGAAGAGGATGAAGAGGAGGAGGAGGAGGCGGAGGAGGAGGAAGAGAAGGCGGAGGAGGAGGAGGAGGAGGACGAAGAGGAGGAGGAGGAGGAGGAAGAGGATGAAGAGGAGGAGGAGGAGGCGGAGGAGGAGGACGAAGAGGAGGAGGACGAGGAGGAGGAGGAGGAGGGATTTCCCGGATGCACCCCCCCTCCACCTCGGGCGCTCAGCCGAGGTGGAGGGGCAGGGCAGGTGGCTGCACGTCGACGACGTTCTACAGCCATGAGCGAGCGAGCGAGGAGGAGGAACGCCTCCTGCGTCGCCCCCGGCGCGCTCCGCGCGCCTGGAAGAAGGGGTCTAGCGTTGGTCCGACTCTCCGCGAGGTGCTGTTTATGCGGCTGATGTCTCTTGTTAGTCTTGAGACTTTGCTTTAGTGTTATTATTCAGATTGCTATTCGTAGTACGTGTGAAATTGCCATTAATAACTCATGCTCTTGGTTGGTATTCAAGTATGTATGTATGTATGTATATATGTATACACACACATATACATGTATATATAGTCATGCATGCGTTGATGTAGTGTTTAGACTCTTGTTTTTGTGTTTTGGTGTGTTCATCATTCGTTGGTATTGATGGTGCCTCTGTGCTTCTCCATATCAGCGTTGGGAGCAGTGCACGCTTAGTCTTCACGCTCCGTGTATCCCCACCAGCCCATTCAGAGACTCCGACCTTGAGAGCCGACGGGGAGAGGGGGCGAAGCGACACATTTGGCGAAGCAGAGCGAGCAACCCGGGTGAACAGCTCTCCGGGAGCAGGGGGGTGGCCTTGGGGGGCAGCCTTCGGCCCATCCCTGGGGGCGACGTCCTCCTCGGGTGCCTTTTGGGGCCATCTTGGAGGCTATCGTGAAGTCGGGCCTGTCCCTCTACAGGATGAATATTCGATAATAGTGACAAAAAATCTGGGGACGATTTTCCGACCAGGTTCGACCAAATTTGGAGCACGTTTTTATCATTTTTGTCGCCCAAAATCCGCCTGTAGGGGGACATGCCCGACTTGAGGCTATCGATCAAAGGAGGGGGGGTCCAGATCTAGGTCCCCCCCTTGGGCCCTCAAAGCCGCCTCTGAGGACCCTCTTCAGGCCCTCGCGGGGCGCTCTTGGGCGCTCTTGGTGCCGTCTTGGGCGCCTCTGGGGCCCCTCTTGGAGCCTTCTTGGGCCATCTTGGGCCATCTGGAGGCCCCCAAAGCGCATCGGAAGCGAAACGGCGAGACATCAAACATTATCATTTGTCCTCAGGTGTTTGAAGGATTTGGGGCTCTTGGAGGGGTCCTCAGGGGTCGCCGAGAGCACTTGGAAGCGTCTTGTGGCCCACTTGTGGCCTCTTGGAGGCATGACATATGGCATCATCTTGAGCGATCTTGCGCTATCTTGAGGCATCTAAGAGGCTATCTTGGAGCATCGGAGGCCCTCTTGGAGCCATCTTGAACAAAAACAGGCCCTCTGATGACTCGCGGCTCCTCCCGAAAAAAACCTTTGGAGGGAACGGGGAGGATACCCCTCCCCGAAGGGAAGAGGGGGTTCTTTGAAAAAGGAAAGCAAGATATCGTTAGACCAACAACGCCCAGAGGGCTGGTAGGACTATATCCTTATCCTTTCTCCTCCTCCTCCTCCTCCTCCTCCTCCTCCTCCTCCTCCTCCTCCTCCTCCTCCTCCTCCTCCTCCTCCCCCCCCTCCTCCTTCCCCTGCTCACCCGACCACTTCGCTTCGTAGTAAAATCAAGGCGGAATGTGTGTGGCTGCTTTGGCCCAGCCCATGTTGAAGCCATACTGCCGCCGCCTCCTCCTTGTCCTCCTCGTCCTCTTGAGGACTCGACTGCACAGCTCGAGCGCGTCCGCCTAAGCGGAGCGGAAGCGAAGGAGCGGCGACGCCGTTTTGCTCCCCGGAATTTCACGGCCATCTTGGAGACCGTTTTTAATACCATGGCGACAACAGGCGTGGTCGTTGGGGGGGGGGGAAGGGGGAGGGGGCCTGTCACGTCACGATTCGCGCCGGCGCCGTCCGGGAATGCTTGGATGTGGCTACTCTGCAATTTCCCACACGGCGCCGGCGTGAAGGGGGGGAGGGAGAGAGGGGTAGAGCGGGGCGGGTCACGGGCGTTCTCGATGGATATTGGATGGGGTTGGGACGAGGATCGATCCGTTCCAGAGCGTTCCGGGACGCTCTCAGAGTGTTCCCCAGAACGCTCCGAGAAGGCCGCGACGCTCGAGACGTCGTCCAGAGCCGCGGGATTTCAGAGAATATTGAATTCATCCTCGGTTTTACATCGATCCTCGATTTGATCCTCGACGTTAGCCTCCCCCGACGTTAGCCTCACCTGGATTTATCCTCGTCCTGGCCTCTGGGCAACAGCCTGCATCTAACCTCACCTGGATTTATCCTGCCCCCCGATGTTAACCTCACCTGGATTTATCCTTGTCTCATGATGCAGCAGCGGGCTGCCGTGGCCAGGGGATATCGCCGGGCCCCGTCCTTCCCGGGCGCCCCCCGAGCGCAGGCCGCGCAGCGCAGGTCTGACGCGGAAAGGTGGCGGGGGAGCACGAGCGAGCGAGCGTCAGTACTGCGGGCCAGCGGGGGTCAGCGCTGCGCTCCAGTCTTAAGTCGGGCGTGTCCCCCTACAGGGGGATTTTCGACGAAAAATAATCGATACCCCAAACATACCCCAAAAAGGGCAGAAAATACTAATAAAATAGTCCCCAGACTATTTTTGGACTATTTTTTGTTGAGTATGTTTGGGATACTTTTTATTTTTCGTCGAAAATCCCCCTGTAGGGGGACACGCCCGACTTAACTCCCTCTGGATGCCCAGATCCCAATTTACTTCAAGCGCCGTCCTACTCCAATACTCGATATGGTCTTGCTGTGTCTTGTTATTCTCTGGGAGGGCCCCGGCCCACTCTACTTGATCCGCCTTCCTTCTTCGTGTTGTTGCCTGCTTCGTCCGACCGACATGCACTGGATTCATGATGCATATCCCGGGAGGTCACGGTCGGACCGAGGCATAATGTCGAAGTCGGTTCGGGGCGCGTACCCAAGCGTTCTTCGTGTTTGTTGGATGTTGTTGTGCATCCTGGGGGAGGATACCCTCGAATGCTCTTCAGTTTGGCTGGCGGGGGGTCTCATGTTCTTGGAGGATTTTTGTTCCGTCCTTGGCTGTACTCCTTTTCGGATGCAACTCCTGGGAGGTTAATTCTGCATCGCCGCTTGCAGATCCACGGTCGAAAACCGCCCACATCTGGCAGAACTCCGATGCATCCCGCCGGGTCCCGCTGAACCGGGCTCAATCCTGAGTTCCATCTGAGCTAATCTGGCTCAATGGGCCCCCTGATCGGGCTTAGCAGCCCTTAGCCGTGCTCGCGAAGACCTCCCAGGAGGTGCTTCAGATTCACGCCCCACCCCGACAGACGCCGTCACAGAACGGTCGTCGTCGTCGTCGTCGTCGTCGTCGATCGAGCCTTTGAGATTTCGAGGTTTCGAGGGTTGGTGAGTCCACGAGCGGCGAACATATGCGTATCCGCGCCCTCGCGGTCTGGACTCCAAGGCGCGACCCCGCGCATGCGCGGTCGCACGGACGTGTTCCGCGCGGGGCCCCCGCGCAAGACACGCCCCGCAGCCGCTAGGTCGCTGCCCGCCACGCGAGTCCGCGGATGCGGATCTGTTTTGCTTGTCGATCGAGGAGGAGGAGGAGGAGGAGGAGGAGGAGGAGGAAAAGCACGAGGAGGAGGAGGAGGAGGAGGAGGAGGAGGAGAGGAGGAGGAGAAGGACGAGGATGATGATGATGATGATGATGATGATGATGACGACGACGACGATGATGATGATGATGATGATGA